TGAACTTGCAACTGAGCATAGTGGTGGAAATGGCATCTTTATACATGAGAATTTTCATAACGTTATGATACTACACTTCGCAAACGATCTTGTGCTTATAGCTGATACACCAATTGATCTACAGAGGAGACGATTAAACAGTTTAGAAAAGTATTGTGAAAAGTGGAATATGACTATAAACATGGACAAATCAAATATTGTTGTATTTAAAAATGGAGGTCAATTGTCTAAAAACGAGAAGTGGTACTTCAAAAATGAACTTTTGAACGTTGTCAGTTATTAGTATTTAAGAACATATTTTTCCAATAGATTGAAATGGACTTGCTGTTGCAAAACATTACGAATACAGTGTAAAAAAGTTCTGAACATGATAAAACATTGTATGTGTAAACTTGGAACTAGAGATATAAATCTTGGATTTAAATTATTTGACTCTATGGTTGCTCCATTATTTTATTATGGTACAGAATTATGGGGTACAGATAAAGTGAAAGACATTGAAACTGTTCAAAACAAATGTTGTAAACGGTTACTAGGAATGGGTCAAAAGACTACAAATCATATAGCAAGAGGTGAATATAGCCGTCATGAACTATATGTAAATTATGTGTGTAAACCTATAAAATATTTTCTTCATTTACAATGCATGGATGATAGCAGACTACCAAAATTATGCTACCGTATGATATTTAAAATGAATGAACATGGACGTATAAATTGGTGTTCTAAAGGGCTAAGACTATTATTTTCAAATGGATTTTGTGTTGTATGGGAAAATCAAGGTGTGTGAGATACAAAACTGTTTATGAATTTATTCAAACAGAGACTTAAAGATGTAAATTTACAAACTTGGTCAGATTACATTGGTAACTCATCAAAATGTGCAAAGTTAAAGATTATATTTGTATAAATGAAAATATACAGAAACTGTCATATAATCTTAGATATGAATTTTTTTCAATTTCATGTTCAAACCATAAGCTTGCTATAGAACAATATAGACATGAAAATATACCAAGGGAAAATAGTTTGTGTAAAATTTGTAAAACAAATGAAATAGAAGATGTTCTCCATATTGTACTAGTTTGTCCAATTTTGGCTGATATAAGGAGCAATTTTTTACCACTATGGTGTTAAAGTAATTGTAACAAAGACACGTTAATAAGTCTTATTAAAACTAAAAATTTAAATACTTTGAAAAATCTTGCTATATTTTTGAAAAAAAAACTAAATGCTGTAGAGAGGACGTTTTGTCACTGTGACTTTATGAAAATGAATATACTTGGTAAATAAATTAATTTATTACAAATACTGGTCTATTAAAGATCATTAAAACATTTTGCAATTTATAAGATAAATTATATATAGATTCTTACATTGATACCAGTGGATTATCGGATTTATCCAATCGAGATAGTTAAATTATCAATTTTAAAGTCTGAGCCTTGGCGAGGACTTTAAAATTTATAATTTAACTATCGAGATTGGATAAATCCGATAATTCACGAGTAACTATGTAAGAATCTGTTTCTCTAATGATTAAAAAATACATTTTCATTTTTTGTTAAACCAAAACCCCCTCCGAGTGCCTTCCACATTTCACAAAGTTGTCAATTTCATTAACACCTGTAAGCATATTTTGAGCTGATAAAGGCTATGACCCTTAAATTCATCCAATCATCTTCTGAGATCACCGGCAACCACACGTTGATTAAATTTTTTTATACAATGAGTGCAGAAAGGTATAAATTGTCAAAGAATTAGAGAAATATATATATATCATGTATTTGTATAATATGTTTGTGTTGCATTGTTTAATATATGTTATTTTTAAACTGTAGTTGGCATTATAAATTGTGAATTTATAAATGTACCGTGGGCTGGAGGCCTGTTTTTGTACAATAAACTTGATTTGATTGATTGAATGCGAACTCAAACTCGGCAAAACAGTCATACTCGGGAAAAGGCCAAGTTCGGTACTTAGCAGACCAGACGACGTAGATGGTAAACAACAATCTAAGACGTGGTAAAAATGTCGTTAGTTAGTTTAGACACAGACACATCGTATAGATCAACCAATTTGTGATGGTGTCCATAAAATTTTCGGAGTGTCAGTTTTAATCTTTCCTCCTCATAACTCTGTGGGAGCAGTTTCTGCGTAAGGAGCACACTCCTGTATATGACTTCTATTAAACTATTATAAGGCTTATCAATAAAATACTACAATCTATACAAATAGCTGATAGCCAAACAAGACTAGTGGACACAGCATTTGTAATTATCAATACAACATTTAATTGATGTATAAACGAATTTAATAATTAGTGTATAATCATCTGAGTTCAATCGATAATTTTATCTGTCATCAACCACCTCGTTGGCCAGGAAAAAATCAGGCAAAACGAGTTAACTCGGTTAAACTGTATTTAAAATGCAGTCAAAGGACTATATTTTAGGTATACTGGAAAATGTCGGAAATTTGTGTCCAAAACAAAGTGTTCGAAAGGCCGTCTCAAGAGTTATCATAAATTTTGGACAGTATGTACGAATGCATATTAAGTTAGTATTCATGAAAAAAAATACCTTCGATTTACAAATCAATAGTATGTAAAATGATGCATGTACTTACATACTAACATGTAATTATAAATAGGATTTTCTCACTGTGTTGAAGACCCATTGTGGCCTTGGGCTGTTTTCTGCTCTTTGGTCGGGTTGTTGTCTCTTTGACACATTCCCCATTCCATTCTCAATTTTATTGAACTTTATTTCACTGTTGTCCAGTCGTATGTTTGGCTAGAAGTGACCAACAACGGAAAATATTCCCGCTTTATCTAAATATCATGTGAGATACAATTATGTCCTTGACATGACTATATTTTGCAATGTTTATTGAATATTCAATTTGTATCTTGATTTAAAAAACAATGATCTCGTCGACTTCTTTCTTTTGGGAATTGTAGTAATAGTCACATTAAATTGAAATTACCTTTTTGTTAGCCCATGAAACTTTAGATAAAGAGTAAAAAATACGTATATAAGGCAATGCCAAATTAATACCTCGTTCGTCGGAATCCCCGCGTGTTGTGAAAGGTCGACGAGAAAAAAGTACTTTTTTTTTAAAACCTACGTTTAGTACTGAGCCGCGCGCGTCCGTCTCTAAATTTATATAACATACATTTTAATCAGTTGTGCGTTTAAGTACTGCCATACAGACACGGAAATTGACATCTAAAATGATCTAGATCTATCATTCACAACATGTTTACAATACGTTTATGGCCAAATATACATATTAATATGAAATATATTCTAAACGTGAGACATGTCAAAGTTGAGTTTTTGTAGTTACAGTGGTAACGCAGGCAAAGACCTTACTGCCAAACACAGCAGTGTAATGTGATATGGACAATTCTTATACCGATTTTGTTTGAAGTGCTCCGTGCAACATTGCAAGACCACAAAGCACCGACGCCACCGAATTGAAAGATTCAAGTTATAACAATATAACATGCATAAGAATAAAAGAGAATCCCAAAGATGATGGTACATGCGTTGAAATGGAACCGCAATGAAACTATTTTTGTTTTACTTTTCAGAATAAAGATTAAAGGTTTTTTCCTTGAATCTTTTATTGATATTTGCTAGTATTATTACAAAGTTATCAAGCATGGAATTGACAAGAAAGATTTTTGTGGTAATTGAATATAACACTTCAATCTAACTTTACAATTTACAAAATCTTCTAAAAATGAGAATTTGTATGATTATCAACGAGACAAACTTCCACCAGAGACCTAATTTGTTGAGGTTTGCAACCAGTAAAGTTCACGGTATTGCCTTCAACACAGAGCAATATTCCTATATATACAAAAATTTGATTTCTATTAAATACTTACAAAGCAATGACTAAGTAGAATGTATTTTCCTTTTGTTTAATTAGTATATGGCATCTGGTGTGATGCATTTGAATATAAAGGAGTATCAATTGGTTGGAGCGAGACCACTCGCCCCGGAGACAACTCGGACCATCTACAAAAAAGAAAACTCGGAACGTCTATGAAGACAATTCGGACCGTATATAAGTCAACGCGGGTCGTTTATAATGCCAACTCAAATTAATTATAAAATTAGCATATAAATGATGTAATGTAAAAGACTGTGTCTGAAGAAAAGTCATACTGTCTATAATGCAAATAATAGAGGGAGAGTTTTGATGCCCATTTTGACTATACAAATGACGAAGCAGACAACTTGGACTGTCTATGAAGATACTTCTATATAGACATTTCAAGATCACAACTTATAGACTCTGGACAATTTATATTGACATGCATCTGTCTATTGTTGAAGATTGAATGAAGCTCCCTATATTTGTTAAGTAACAAATATGTCATTTACATAATACGGTAATAATAATTTGACGATTTTTTATATAACAAGTATGTCATTTACATAATATAGACGGTCCGATTTGACTTTAAAATAATAAAAAAAGAATTCAACAAATAAAAAAAAAAATCAACATAGACTTTTTTGCTTCAATAAAGTTTTATAATAGATTGATAAAGATAATTAGAAATTTGAATTCACATTAAACAAATTTGAATTTTTTTATTATGTTTTTGAAATTCAGCAACATGTAAATGATACTGTCTTGTAAAATATATCATTTAATGATTTATGAGTTTAAAAACTTATGAGTTTGAATGTCCCTTTGGGATCTTTCACCTCTCTTTTATAATCATTTAAATATATTAAATCTTCTTTTAATGCTATGTATGAGTTGTAATTATAGACGTTCCGAGCTGACTTATTAGTCGGTCCGATTTGACTCGAGCCAAGTTGTCCCGCATTCCAATTGGTGTGGTTTTTGGAGGACAGTCATTTATAAATTTTCAGCTTGTTGTATACACAAATATGTATAGTTGTATATAAAAGCTTTATACAGGCATATATGCTTTGCATTTATACATTTATTTGAAACAACATACCATCCTTTATGTGCCTGTCCCAAGTCAGGAGCCTGTAGTTCACTGGTTGTAGTTGGTTCATGTCTGTCAAATTTGTTTTTCGTAAATTTTTTTGTTATAAATTAGGCCGTTAGTTTACTCAATTGAATTGTTTCATATTTTTCATGTCAGGGCCTTTTATAGCCGACTATACGGTGTGGGTTTTTTCATTGTTGAACATGTTGAAGGCTGTACGGTTGCCTATAATTGAATATACCTTTCCTTTGAACTTTGGTGGATAGTTGTCTCATTGGCAATCATACCACATCTACTTATTTTTATAATGCATCAATTATAATTAACATCAAACATGGATTTCTACCTGTTCAAAGCTGTTGTACTATTTCATGTTCAGCAGGATCTTTATTTGAGCCGACTACACGAAGTTGTAGGTTTTGCTACTAGTTAACCATTTTTGTACTGGAAATGTGAAAACATTCAACAAAATGAACAAATTGAGAAGCAAAGTAGGGTAATATATTAAGAACTAGGATATGAGATATATAAAAACATGAAGCACCAACTCTGTGTAAATTTTTGATCGCTCGCTTGCATAAAATGCTTTTCATAGATTTAAATTTATTTTTTTAATATTTCAAAAATTATATCGCTCGCTAGTAAAACAATCTTTGCCTGCCAAAAATCAAACTTCGAAAAAAAAACTAAATAAACAAATTTCGCTCGCTCGCTACCCTTTTTCAAGGAAAGAGTCCGAAGAACTAAAAATTAATTTGGTGTGGCCTAATGAGTAATATTTGCAAAAAGAAAAATTAAAACGGAGCTATCTTAATACTTCTGTTGACATTTATATTTTGTGAGCCCTATTTTCCTATATTATTTAAAAAAGATTACGCTATACAAAAAGTCCTCAAAATTAGTATTCAGACAAAGCGTTAAATGGATGGTCACTCATCGAAAATATTATAATTGTTTTGAGGCTGTGAAGCTACTTACAAATTACCATACGTTTGGGAATCACAGTAACATCGACATTTTCCATTTAAACTTTGTAATTTGTAGATACTAAAATTATATTTGTGCACATATCATGCCTGTCATATTATACAATTTTAGACTTTTAATGAGGTTAAACATGGTTGTATCGACCGCATGAAAGATTTGGTGATGTGAGGGAATTTAAACTCTTTATTCTAGATGTGTATGAATACTCAAAACCTTTTCAAAATCGCACAGAATAATTTCAGTTATGAGTCTTAATCACAAATGTATGACATTTTGTCATCAGAAAAGGATGTAAACATTGACTAAAGTTTGACAATGTGTATAACAGGTATGGATATTTTCGGTTATTTCATTCAATGACAGGACAATATTAGAAAGCTGATGAAATTTGAGAAATTTCGAATATTGAAAACACCATGACGAAAGTCTTAAAAACACCTGAAAGATTTACTTGTATTTCTAATTTAGACATATACTTTTCCATGTAAGAAAAAAAAATGTGGGGAAACTGATCTAACTCTTATTATGTGTATGATTGGTATGGAATCCTGTTAGGACACCCTCGAACGACCCACAGTGACTATTTTGCGAAAACTAATAAAATAAAAATGAAAGAGTTCAATATCTTTTTTCTACACTTAGTCGTGTAGATTACATAATGTTGTTTTTTTGTCACTTTCAGAAGTTTGTTTTAAGATATCACTTTTCAGTCTACTCCTACACAACTGAACACACAAATACCAAAAATTTAATCATCAACTATTGTGGTTTTGTAATAGATAAGTCATTTGTCATTGTCGGACGCAGTGTTATCTTAATTTATGGTTTACTGCTGGTTCCCATGGAACCAAATAACTGAAAATCGTTATCTTCAATCATTATTTCATCACTCGTATCGCTAAACGTAGAAAATTTATATTTCAGTTTTTCATCCTGTTGCTTGTTACTTATAACAGTGAACCAGGAATCGTCTTGCGTTTCATTACCAACTGTCGTTACACAAATACCCAAACTGTTGCTTCTAAAATATGGTGATTTCCACACAATCGCAATGCGCCTTTGTTTGCTTTTTATAAGCCAAGAGACAATTCCACTTGATCCTGTCATGGTATAACCGTGCTTATGTACTATCTAAAAATGAAATAAAATATTAATATAAATAAGATCAATGTATCTTAATTGAAAGTTTTGTGGATTTTACACGACAGCATTTATCGATAACCATATTTTTTCATAAAAAAAAAATGAAACTGGACGAGAAATTATAAATTACACATTTCATTTATCGGTTACTAAAGAATATATTTTTTAGAAAAAAGTTACTTAAGATTTTAAAACTTACATCAGCACTTGGTTCTATGTGTACATGTCAAATCGCAAAAAGGCAAGCTGCATAACTAATTAACCAGATGAACTGATAATTTTTGCAAACTGAACAAAATTTAAATCATGAATATTTGTAGATCTACATATCTAAAATTAAAAACAGACTAACACAGAAAAAATGTTACACAGTTAGTATAACCGACAGGCATGGGAACAGCTTTTAATCTAGCAATTGCCGCATCGATGGGGTTTTGAGGGTAATCTTGTTTTTTAAGGTGTTCCTTCAATTGTTTTCGCCTTATTCCCAGTAGTGATGTATTGCTTACAATAATGTATTTACGTCTTGCAAGATTTAACAGAATGTTTCTTTAAGTATATGTTGGGTGGCATATTAATGAGTATCGGTTTCTTAAAGGTAAAAATCAGTTGTGATAGTTTCACCCTTTTCTATGATTAAAATATCCCAAACATAATTGTTTTTCATCAAAAACCATGATAAATTTTATGGATTCGTGTGGATTATTAGGAAGCATTTCCAGTTCTACTTAATGTACATTTGTATATGCTTAACTCTGCGTCAATTAAAATCTGAAAGATATCTTCAAGCTATCTCATAACTGTTACATATATTAGAACATTTGTGCCGTGGATCGCCTGGGATTTGGTAACAAACTTCATATTCACTGACTTGATTGTACACAGATGTAATCCAGCAGGAGTGAATGATCTGTCTACTAAGTAATTAAGTTTCAAGATTTTTTTAAACAAAAGAATGATTTGTTAGGAACCTTTCATAGGTTTTTTGAGGAAGCACCCTCGATTCTACAAAAATGAAAATAAAATATTTAAGGTAATGAGACAGAATTTCTAAAAAAGAAAACACTATATTTCTGGGGGAGGAGAAAGTGGAAGGGAAGGGGTGTTTTGGTGGAATTTTCATTTTTGCTTGTTGTAAGCCGGTTTATCACCAGTTCAGTAGTCATTGATGTATGTGTTTTTGTTTATTTAGTGTAGTTAATACTTAGAAATCTTCCAAATACTTAGGTTGTTGCCCCTAGGCATATTTGGCTTGATCCAGATTTGGCATACCGATGGGATACTCTTAGTTTTTATTCGTCTTTAAATTCCTTATAAGGTTTGCCTTCAAACTGTATTGATTGGAGTGCCATGTTGAGTTTGAAGACGAAAGGCAAGTCTGTTAAGTTTGTTAAATTATATTTGATTGGTTATTATCACTTTTGGCCTTGTCGCCCGCAAACCTAATCTACGATATTGCATACATTCCCTGGGACATATAATTGATAAAATGATCTGATGATACTGTCTGTCCGCCAATATGACAAATAAGGCAAAGATTAGAACATAGGAGAAAAGTTAAAGTATTGTTTTTTTTATCTTGAAAACCATTATATTTTTAAAAAATCTGACATGGCAGAATTGTTCAGAGTGTCAAAATTTACATGTAAGTACGTAACTAGCCGTTTTGACCAAAACTCTTATTACAAAGTATTGTTTTTGGGCTATAAACTGTTCATACATGTCAGATGATAGAAACCCCAATCATCTCCTTATAGAAGTGATTGCCCTTGAATCATGATATTTCCCCGTTTGTATGAATTTGGCAGAAAGTAAGTAGATAAAGAGAAACTATAAGAGTAGAAATCATCAATAGTGAAAGATCTACAGATATGTCAAATTATGTGACTAGGCTAAATTTTCAGAAAATTGGTTACCATGCGTGCCAACCCCTTAAATAAAATGGGTAGCGGAAGACAATCACCAAATCTATAACAACGTTGGTTTAATATCAGAAGAGCCGATAGAACGGCAAAAATGCGTTAACAGTTATATATTATAAACAATGTGACTTTTTGGTGATATTCCGTTTTAAAAATATTTTTTTATTAAAGTCCATTATTTTATTTCTTTTAAAAAGATACATAACTATATACTATTTCTTGCTGATCGAGCCCAGATAGTGTCCAGATCTTGCCAAATGCAAATCGTTGGTTTAGGAATATCTGGTCGCTGTCTGATCTAAGTCGGAACACTTTTGAAAGACCCGGCGGTTTTTGTTTTACTATGTGAAAGATCTAGATACAATCGGACCAGAATCGGATTGAAAACAGGATAATCGTGACGCTTTCTGAACAATATGTGATTGTTGTCGTAATTAGATAAATGTGTTTACTTATTTCATGCCAGGAATCATATGATCTTGTGCCGACTGTACCTCGTGAAAGATACAAATTGAATCACAATCGGATATAAAACTGCAAAATCGGGGAGAATTCGGCTGCAAACGGTTGAATCGGGACGCTTTATGAACAATTTCTGATATTTGTCGTGACTGAATAAAGGTTTTATAAATCTTAACAAAACAAGCCACGAAACTTAGGATCATGGTCAGACTTTTATTTTTTTAATCGGGAATGGTCCTATCAGGGACGGCAGCAAAAGTCCTGAATGTAAGACTGGGGCTTGAGTTTTTGAATATTTTTCTGACGTAAAACAATGAGAAGCATGCATGGCCTGACTTATCATAACATCATTTGTGATATGGCAGATAATAGTTTTGTACTTGAAATTGCAATTACGATAATAGATCAGCGAAAAAGTACATGATCAATATTTACCATTGCCTCTTTATGTCCAGGTCTTACTGAACCCGCTGGCGTTGATATGTATCCTGAATATGTCTTCGTTTTTGGTTCGGTCAGATGATACTTTGTCCAGTTTGTGATTTCAATACCAACAACAATACCATAATTTTTATTTGTCATTAATGTAGACAAGTTTTTTCCATGCAAAGAACTGCCGAGTCGTGTTGAATCGCTCATGGACTTCATCTTGTGTGAATTCCACGTGACTCGACCCTTACTTGTGTGTTCATTAGAGTTGTTTCCTGTATGGGAGTGAAAGAAACAATGCTTGTGAATTTTGAACAAATCATTTTATACAAAACGTTTAAAAACTTTAATTATATGGGGCGTGTAGAGTTTGTGATTGCTCACTGAAAGTTCATTGATTTTCATATCAAGGCAAAGATCAGCCAGTTGGTATACAAGATTGCAACCTTCTCTTGTGAAGACACATTAGCTACAAAACTATTTTACACAAATAAACATTTATACCCCCCCCCCCCCCCCCACAAAAAAAAAAACAAAAAAAAACCTGTCTTTTAAAGTGTCCTATCCTGTTTTTTTTTTGGTTTTTTTTGTGAACAGAGGAACGTATATTGACCTCAATATGCTTAATATACTTTTATAAAGTTTTTATTAAGAGGATACTTACTTTTGTCACCAGTTTTTGCAAATACGGGAGACAGAAAGGGAGAGATATGTATATTTACCCATATTTGTTTCATCACAATTACTGCTTTTAATGTCTGCCATACTGTCTTGATTATTGAATCTATTCTGACGACTATAAGAACTCATAGATGCTTTTCCACCATTGACAACCTACAAATTTTGTATATTTATTGATTACCAAATTTATCATCCAAAGCGCATCATGCTTTTAGTCTTAGATGCATGATTTTATTTTATTAGTTGGTATTGGCTTTGAACTGGCTGTCAGTAACTGCAAGTACTCTCTGATCTGTACTTAGTGTCTTTTTGTTGTGGGGATATAGAAGTTCCCTGCCACGTCCACTCTGTGTTCTGTTAGATGTATTTCTGCTTTATTTCGCAGGTTAGGGGAGGGTTGTCTCGCCTTCAGACTAGTTTAACTCCGCCACATTCTGTATGTGCCTGTCCCAAGTCAGGAGCCTATAATTCAGTGGTTGTTGTTTTATGCTGTATATCATATTTGTTTTTCGTTCATTATTTTTTACATTAATTAGGCCGTTAGTTTTCTCGGTGAATTGTTTTACATTTTTCATTTCGGGGCCTTTAATTGCTTACTATGCGTGATGGGTTTTACTCATTGTTGAAGGCCGTACGGTGACCTATAGTTGTTAATATCTGTGTCATTTGGTCTCTTGTGGAGAGTTGTCTCATAGGCAATCATACAACATCTTCTCATTTTTATATTAAATTATGTGTACGACCAACTATTTTTCAACCTTTCAATTCTGATATTTAACCCTGAAATAACAAGTTACATCAACCTAATAATGTATTTTCCTATGCACTCCTTTCACTTTGTTATAAGAAGCACTTGTAGTCAAAAATGTTGTATTCTATTTGAAAATAAAATATAATTCGGGTACGCCTTTCGTTTATTGTCTGCAAATCAAAGTTACAACAGATACAGATTCTTAGGAAAAATACATTTAATGTTATCATTAGAATGTGACGGCGGATCTAAAATAATCGACCATATTTTATCATGTGACATATATTCATTTCTTTATCATATTTATGACTATGTTCGACTATTTCGAATATGCGTAAGATAGTACAAGATAGATAATTTTTTAATCACCTTTGTTCGGATAACACAAGATATTATTTGCAATACAATGATTATAAATTGATTGCTTATATTCAAGAGGCAATTATTTATGCATACTCAGGACGAGAAACTATTAACAATTTATATAAAAGGTAAGTCCGTTACAAGGCGGAAAATTTGGACTGCATTTGAAAAACATTGGTATGTTGGATCGGTGAAGAAATATGTCTGTGCAACAGGTCAAATTGAGAATCCATCAAACAGTTGCTGCAAGGGTTCTTAAACGTGCATAATCTGATGTACAGTAGTTGTCGTCTGTTTATGTAGTTCATACGTGTTTCTCGTTTCTCGTTTTTATATAGATTAGACCGTTGGTTTTCCCGTTTGAACGGTTTTACACTAGTAATATTTGGGGCCCTTTATAGCTTGCTGTTCGGTGTGAGGCAATGCTCCGTGTTGAAGGCCGTACCTTGACCTATAATGGTTTACTTTTATAAATTGTTACTTGGATGGAGAGTTGTCTCATTGGCACTTATACCACATCTTCCTATATCTAAAAAAAGTGACACCCTCTCTATACGAGGCATTGGATTGAACGTTGTAATTCTGATCGGACCTATCTGCGAATTAATACATCATACACAGTCAAACAAACGCCCGAATTTGGCAAGAATTTTACTGCTGGTCGGAAGACGACAAAATTTACAATTCCTACACCCAAGTCATGCTTGGGTTAGATTGGTGTATGACCATGATTGTACTATACTTTAAACATTTTGATAACGGAAAAGGAGCAACTGGGTATAAATATATTATCAAATTATTTTTTTTGCCAATCAATATTCCAGAAACTGGTACTTAAAGAATCTTCACCGAGCTCGTTCAGGACAGTGATTTAGATAGAATGATATGTTGTTGTTCCCAAACGGTTGACAGGTCAGTTTTTTGTTGATTTTGATTTCATGTGACTCCGTCAAGCATTTTAACAATTACGTGAAATTTAAACTCATTCAACTTAACAGTTTGACTTTCCTGTAATCATGAACACACACGCTATCACTACGACAGATACAAAAGAATCTGTGTTTAAGATTGCCGTTGTAACAATTATTTTTTGCTATCGTGTACAACAAATTTGTGTCTACTGTACCAATTGCCTTTTCAATATTGTAGCAATGGGTCTAGCAATCGTGTATAGCAAATTTGTTTCTGCTGTACCAATTGGCCTTTCAATACTGTAGCAATTGATCTAGCAATCGTGTACGGCAAATTTGTTTCTTCTGACTCCCAAGGGTGACTAGGGAATAGAAATAAGTACGAAGACATGTCCTGTCAGAATGGGAACGTTAAATCCGATGCCTTGTGTAGAGAGAGTGCTGCCACGCTCTGCACGTTAAAAACCCTTGTAACAACTCTTTGAGGGGTCCGTAGGTGGCCGGTTGCAAGGCAAAATATCTGTTCCTATCAAATTTACCCTTATTTTCCAGTGGCAGTTTAAATTTCCCCGACCTTCCTCCCGGAAGTCCTCTGTTACAGGACCTACCTATTGTATCTATTATTTATTTGATTTGATCATTTATGAAATATTTGCCACTGGACGTTTAGCAACCAACACTCTATCAACAATCAATTACTGCTGAGTCAATTGTCTTTTCAATACTGTAGCAATGGATTTTGCAATCGTGTACATGTGATTTTGATCTGTGAACCTATTGCATTTGTAGTTCCGATAACCGGAAATAGGATGTGATAATTATAAATAAATTAAAAGGAAATTTGTAGTTTAAGTCAATGAGACAGCAACACTTCCATTTCTAATTCAAACGTCGTTGGTACTGAGTGCCAATAGAAAGGCAACAACCGAGTGTATTTTCTATTTAACCCAATTCTAAACCCATGCAGAGATCCCTAGAAGTTGACCAATCGTTTGAGAGTATTAACATTACTGTGAGTTTTCCGTTTTTAAAATCCTCACCTTCACAAATTGCACATTTTCAATAATAAAATTGCACATTAAATGTCACCCATAATGAATCAGTCTATCAAGAGTTATCAAAAAGTAATACAGTTTTACAATTACCATTTGCATTCATTTCTGCAATTCGTTTCGTTACATGTTCATTCATAGTTGAAAATTTAGTTGAACGGTGTTTGACAAATGAATCTTTAATTCAGGCAAAAAAGTTTAATATCACGTATAGAATATACAGAAAATTTGATTTCTTCTTTCGATTGTATATGAAAAAGACGAAAGTTTTAACAGGTTATCATAAAATTATCTGATAACTATTTAACTTTAATATATATAAAAAATACAATAAAGTATTTAATTAGTGAAAAAAATATGCTCATATTTTTTACCCTCAGTTCATTCATAAAAAAGAACAATTTTGATAAAGCATGATCAGAACCGAACAGATGAACACAACATTAGATAAGACAATACTTATAATATTTATACTTTTTGAGTCATCAAGTGCAAATAAATCGAAAAGATCGTAACTGGACTTTTTACGGTAGTATAGGGCTCTTAATTTTCTGTTTAAAGCCCCATTTTAGCCTTAATCTGTTAATGACAATTTTAAAGATTTAGTCCATGCCAGCGCTTAAAACTTTTCCAAAACACTATTGTTGCACTGGTTCTTCTGTACTCAAAAAAAACTAACGCCCTTTGTATGAATATGTAGCAAAACATGCAGAGAAAAATACTACAGTGAATTACAATTTGCTCTAGACATGTTAGAGTCGGCCAACAAATAGAGATGGAGGATACCAAAGGGAAAATACAAAAATCATAAGTCGCAGAAAAAGGTCAATACAGTGGCAAATATAAAAAAAATAGACAAACAACAGTTTATAATGCACTACAAAGAAATCTATAGACTGATCAGCACGATTTTTAATGCGAACTGTTTTTACACCCCAGTTCTATTGTTATACTTCATAGTTTCTATTTCTGAAACAAGTGTGAATTGAATAGATCTATTGTTACGAAAAACAATGGATTTTGACCACAGGGTGTGACGAGCGGGGTTTCTGGAAACCCCTGCTTCTACATCCCGCAAACAAAGTCCATTGTTATTCGTAACCATAGAAATTGATTATGAACATAAGAAATTACTAATAGTGTTCACTTCAAATTGTTTCATGATGTTAAAAAAAACACATTTTAGGAAATTCCAATAAGCATCTATATGGAATACAAAAATAATCCTTCAAATACTTTTTTGCTTGAAGGTAATTTTTTTTTATCCCAGTCATATGGTCTCTATTCTAAAGCATTGATCTTTAAAAAAAGAATTGGGATTCTAGCTCCCGGACCCCCCTCCCCCGGTTAGTTTAAACATATTTTATTTGCTAAATATCAGCAAAATGGATGAGACACAAGTAAATCATACTTATGAAGTCTTCTCCATATTACAATACACGTATATATACAATAATAACATTATGAGCATGCATGTAAAGCTAACAAATTCATTAAATATTATACGAACTATAAATAAAAAGAAAAAAAGAACAAGAAGAATGGAAAAGGAGGAAAAGAAAAAGAAGCAAATTATATTTTCTGTGATGTTGACTTAGGTTTGATGGTGACGATCATCCGTGCCGGTAGCAATAATATTTTATGAAGGTACTAGAAAGGTTACCCAGTGGCCGATCCGGGGTTGGGGGTTCCGCGGGTTGGACCCGACTTTTATTTAAAAGATCAATGCATTTGAATGGTTGGGCCCCCCTTTCTCTTGAGTTGGGAACCCCCGGCTGGATCAACCCCTGATTGCCCCCCCCAAAAAGGGGAGTTCCTCAATATTAAATATTGTATGTTGAGCGTGTCTGGTAGTCGGGTTTCTAATGCAGACACACCTATTCCTTAGTATGTTCGAATATGAATCGGTTTGTTTATTCTCGAGATGAGGGGGGGGGGGGGAGATTTTGTTTTTGATAAAATCATAAGATATAAAATACAGTTATGATTACCTTTATTAGACTGATACAGGTAAGTACTTTGGGTTATAATATTGCCTTTATCTTTAGTCTCTTTTACCAAATCCAACGCTTGCCACAGAATGTCGTCCGTCTTATACCCGTCCATATTGACAACTGTATACCAGGAGCATGATGTAACTTTTTGTTTGTAATAAGAATACACGAAACAGTCAACCTTGACCTGCTGATCCATATTAGCACATGGATTTAACGGGAATATGCAAAACAACTTTGACATTTGTAAAATATACTCACTTGTCAAAGTTTGAACAAAGATAGCCAAAGAAAGGTTACTAGTGGGGTTTCATGTAATAAAAAAATATTCTTATAAATCATGGTTTGATATTATCAATAAATATGCTATCGTTTTTTTTTTTTTCATTTAATAATCAATGTTAACAAATATAGGGTTTAGAATGGGGTGTAAGTTAGTTATACACCTCGGGATACGGTGTGTCTGGATAAGAAACCCCTCCGGCCTCCAGCCGACGTGGTTTCTTATCCAGACACACCTATCCCTCGGTGTATAACTATTACATAAATACTTTTAACAAAAACTATGAAAACACCTTACCTGTGCCATGTGACGGAACTATCCTTAGTGTTTGTAGATAAAGATACAACATATGTTCCACATACAACTTATCATATTTTTGCGCATGTTTGTTTATAAAAAATGAACTTTGTACTATGATATCTTAAAGTATTTGAAGAATTCATAACATTCTGAAAACTTTATCTTTTAACCTAAATATAAAAGGTGGGCCTTTTGCGCTTAAACAAATATTTATGAAAAAATATCAGTAAGGTTAAGCCAGCTATAAAATCAGGCTGAACCCACCATTTTCATCGGAAAATTACTGTACCTAATCAGGAATATGAGAGCTGTTTACCAATCGTTCCGTTGATTGATATAATCATGCGTTTATTTTTTTCAGTTTTTTTTAGACTTCCTTCTTTTTTAATTCACCTTGGAATTCAGTAATTTTGTTATTACATTTTTTAATTTAATATAGTTTAATGGCTGCTGGTTTCGTAATCATGCCCGATAAAATAACATTGCTCTCATGGTATAAAGCGATGAGAAATTTTGTCTTTATTTTGTAATAGCTTGTTTCACTACTTCACCTTTTGCCACAGTAGTATTGAGTCGACTATAAAACATAAAAGTTAATCTGATCAGTTATTTTGTGCTATACAAACTTTAATGGCACTGGTCATTAACCACTATGACAAAGCTTTTGTTAATAGCGTTATTAACTACATGTATGTCTTGATCGTAAAAAAATCATGTTAGATCTTAGAAATGCTAATTTCCTTTAAAGATTTATCCAAGTTGTGTTCCATTGTCAGTTATGATTTCTCTACTCTGTAAAAGACATTTTCCTACTTTTTTTGGATAATTTTTGATAAGATGCATCCATACACAATAATGACCATTTTAATTGACTTTATATTTTCATTGTTTACATTTAGATGTGTATTGATTTTTAGATATTCTGTTAATCTTTATGGAAGTGGTATGTTGAATCTTAATGTTGTGAAAATTTGAAGAAAAAGCGTATGTTAAAATGTTTCAGTACAAGAAGATTTTCACAAATTTAGTCATGAGAGATGTCTTTGTGACGTTATCCATTTAGTTTTAACTGAGGCTTTACATAATTGGGCCAAATTTTTGACAGTTTTCTGAAAAATTAACGATGGCGCCACCTCTAATGCACAAATATATTTGCTGAAGTATTTTTTATATACCATATTCTATACTTTGCAACCAAAATGTCAATGACTGAGGGGTTGTGCCACATTTGAAATAATGAAAAAAAGTGTGAAAAAGAAGACAAACTTCTAGAAAAATGGACTAAAACGAAATCTATTTCAATTTCAGGCTAATATATTTACAATATATGAAGAGGATATACATTTTATTTATTACATGCACACTTTCAAAAGTAATCCATTTAACAATACATACACACTTGATTTATTTTAACAATTAAAGATAAAAAACATCTTTAATTTTTGTGTGCTATATTTGTTTAATTCAGAGGGTCAAAATGATACACTTTATATATAACAACACCTGCACATTGTAATCTGTAAAGCAAACGCATATCATACGACATAATAGAAATACCTTTAAATAAAGGATAGGATAGGATGTTCTTGTGATTTGTACTTGAACAGCGACATTTCTTTTCAGACTTGCTTTGTTTGTTTGCATTTTTAGTAGCTGAATCTGGCCTCTCTGATAAAACAGATAAAGAAAAGATGAATTAATGATGTCGTGTTTTAAATACAAAGACACTCAATTCCTCACTAATGATTCATCTATCAGATTGATGATTGTTGGTTGCTTAGCGTTCAGTGGCAAATATTTCATGCATGTTCAGGACGAGGAATCATGCATATAGCTTATATGTTCTTATATGTCATTGTTGCAGATTCGAAAAATCAACAATATATCAATATGAATAGCAAATTTCAAATCGAAAGTAAAAGTTGAAATGAATGCGAAAGTAAGATTAACTGGAAATTATAACTGTAGAATAGAATATAATTTAATAAAATATACCTTCTTCCAAATAATGGGCCCACAAGGGGCGACACCATATCGTAACAATAAACAAATACAAAAGCACAATACTGAGGAAAATAATTACTTGATTGATATATATATATGGTTATATAATTATTAATATATTTATATTACGTAACGCCCATAACTACCAGTATTGCATTCTTACTCGGCAATGTGCCATCTGAGTGTGCCATATATATATGTACGATGATCATGACCTGACAACGAAGGTAATATACGAAAATTTATTCTTATTTACATTTTTCAAATTTATACAACGATTTCGTTTGTCATGTTACATTTGGGAACGACCATTAGATTATCTGGGGAGGGGGATCCTGATTTTTTTGCAGACAGAATATTCAAATTACACTTGCCTGGTGCACTTGGGTCAATGTCAACATGATATTATTTTTAATATAATACAGTATGTTGTTGTTTTTTTGTTGTTGTAATTTTTTTAATTACATGTATATGTCTATATTGAATCTATTATTGTTCTGTAAATGTTTAAATGCATTGTTTCACGGTGTTTTATATGGCCTCCTTGGGCACTAAATTGGAGAATTAAAAGATTCTATTCTATTCTATTTTAAATTACGTAACGCCCATTACTACCAGTACTGCATTCGTAGTCGGCAATAGGTCAATGTGCCATATATATGTACGATGATCATGATCTGACAACGAAGGTAATACATGCATACGAAAATTTATACTTATTTACATTTTTCCGTTTATAAAAGGTTTTCGTTCGTCGTGTTATGCGGCAAATTATACAGTTGGAAACGACCTGTTGATTTTCTTTGGAAGGAGAGGGTGAGGAGAATTGTTTGGCAGATGGAATATCTATTTTCATCCTCTTACGGTTGAAAATGTTTTCAGTTCTCACAATCAGACAGTGGAAAAAATCTGGCAGGGAAAAAATACTTCAAAATCTTTAATGGTGTTTGTGATTTGCGAGGATCGACGCTACTGATTATTAGTCCTTGTAAATGTTCTCATAAATAGTAGAGGGTATGGATGGGGGTACTTTATTTCTGTATTTCTTATTTTTGTTCGCTCATTATTCTTTATCTTTAATAATAATGGCTATTCTGTAATTACTTGATAACTGTATTCTGGACATTGTTCTTTCTGTAATCAGTATATTTTTACCCAATTCTTTAAATTTTGCAGTTATTCTTTATATTTTAGTACCCCATTATTCTCTATTCTTTTTTTGCCCATTTTCTCTATTCATTATTTTTTTTGCCAATTATTCTCTATTCTGTAAACCCCATCCACACCCTCATAGTAATAATGAATTAAAATTCTTTATTATTAAATGTAGCACGCGATGGAAGTTTTGTACAATTTTGCTATGGGAAAAGATTCTTCACCATTCAACCTCAATTTATTTTTCTACTTTCTGTATATTTACATGTAATACCGTAGCGGAACACGCCAATTCTACAAACTGAAAGGATAATATAACATTATAAATGGGAGGGGGCTTTGTCCTAGATCATTTGTCCGACATAATATACTATTTTTAATTTTCAATTTTTTCTCCGTGAAACATAGCCAAAATAAGTTGACAATATGTATTGGAAAAGTGTGAATCCCTATCTATAATCAAATATTACCATGATAGGGTCGAGGACAAACGCACTCCAATTTGGCTATGTTTCAGGACGAGAAAATTCTATTCAAAATAGTATAGTGTGAGGGACAAAAGACTGACTATTATCAAATTAGTAACTTAAATGTAAAAGAAACGTACAGTATTAAAACACAAATTTAAAACCTAAAATATAGATCATACAAGATATTTGTGATTGCAACTTGACAAGCTCAACAACCCTTGTTTTTGTCCTGTTTCTACAACTCATAGAAATAATTTTTACTGTACGTATATGGCACATGTATCTCCTCTTGAATACAATAATGAACAGGACTATTTATTTGTCCGTCCGTCCGTCTGTGCATTGTATCAACAACTACACTAAATTCAGTGAATCACTGTCAAACTTACCGATAATCTTTATTAGGCTGGACGTAAGCACTAATATCACCTATTTTTGTTTTTCAAATTATGAGTAATACAACGTAGGACAACCATAGTTGGTATATAGATTTATCACAAAGTATAAATGTCCAAAAAATATTGCAATCTTGCGTTTTCGTAATAATGGGAGTTTGGCATATTTTACGTTTGCATTCGACATGAAGAGGTATCCAGTACATAAATTCTAAAGAAGTTTTAACATTTATTAAGTGTTTGTTTGAAGTGGAAATTATTTGAACCTGCATAAATTGATAGTATTTAATGTGTTTGAAATTCAAAATTATTTATTCTATAGAGATTTTATAGTTCGAGTCATTAAAATTTCATTAAAATCATTGAATCGTATCAACTATATATATGAGATGTCATTTTGTAAACTACTTATGAATTGTTACGCTTCGCATATGCTTTGTGTGGTAGAACTATGAATCAAAGATAATGTTAAGGAAGATTGGGAGGGTGAATCTAAATTAAAATCGATAGAATTTTTCAATAATTAACCAAAATGTAGTTTATATCATGTTTTTTTAATATAATAATAACTATTGGTCACTGGGATTTTTATGAAGCTACAGTTTGCGCAAAATTGTCAGATTTTGTGTGGATTATGCATGTAAAATTTTTTTTTGGTGATAGAAAGACACTAAACGATAGAATTTAAAGATACAATATGAGAAGATAGCTCTTTTAATTTGCTTTCTGAAAATGACAAGAAAAAATGGGGTCATGGGTCTCTCTTTTTGCTTCAAAACAAAATAAGTAAATTCCTAACACAAATTCCTATATAAAAGTTACATTATCTGATTTATATCCCCTCATATGGAAAAATTGATTTTTTTAATGAATCAAAAATATTCTGTATTTGTAAAACCAGTTATGAATATAAGATGAAACACACAATTTTCTTTATTTAGATGAACACTCTCACATATGTATTACATTCCTATCTCAAAATTTGCACTATCCATAAATATCTAGACTGATTGTTTTCTGCTATTTTACAATCCAATATGTAAATGATCATCATTATATGCAGAGGTGACAGCATTCCATGTGGCACTAACAACAACATTATATGCAATGGTAACAATATTATATACAGTGGCCACCACATTATATGCAGTGGTCACAATATTGTATGCAGTGGTCATGAGATTATATGCAATGGTCATAACATTAGATGCAGTGGGTCAAAACATAATATGCAGCATTCATTACATTATATGTAGTGGTCACAACATTATATGCAGTGGTCACAGCATTATATACAGTGGCCACCACATTATATGCAGTGGTCACAATATTACATGCAGTGGTTACAATATTGTATGCAGTGGTCATGAGATTATATGCAATGGTCATAACATAAGTTGCAGTGGGTCAAAACATAATATGCAGCAGTCATTACATTATATGTAGTGGTCACAACATTATATGCAGTGGTCACAGCATTATATGCAGTGGTCACAACATTATATGCAGTGGTCACAAATTTATATGCAGTGGGCAAAACATTATATGCAATGGTCAAAACGTTAACATTATAAGAAATTGTAACAGCATTATATGCAGTGGTCATAACATTATATACAATGGTCATAACATTATATGCAGTGGTCATAACATTATATACAATGGTCATAACATTATATGCAGTGGTGACAGCATTATATGCAGTGGTATCATCATTGTATGCAGTGGTCATAACATTATACATGTATGCAGCGGTCATGACATTATATATAGTGGTATAACATTATATGCAGTGGTGACAACATTACATGTGGTACTTAAAACATTATATACAATGGTCACAATATTATATGCAGTGGTCACAACACTATAGGCAGTGGTCACAACATTATATGCAGTGGTCACAACATTATATGCAGTGGTCAAAACATTACATGCAGTGGTCATAACATTGTTTGCAGCGGTCATTGCATTACATGCATTGGTCACAACATTATATGCATCGGTCAGAACATATTATATGCAGTGGTCACACCTGTCGCGACAGCATTAAATGCAGCGGTAAAAACATTATATGCAGTGGTCACAACATCATATGTAGTGGTCATTATATTTTATGTAGTGGGTCACAACATTATGCGTAGTGGTCACAACAGTCTTGACAGCATTATATGCAGCGGTCACAAAATTATATGCAGTGTTTACAATTTATATGTGTATATATATGTTTTTTTTTATATGAAGATCTTATTTAATAAAGCTTATGTTTTCAACGAAATCAATTCCCACTTTTGAAATTCGTGAAACATTAGTTGAAACTTTAAATCCAGAATTTAATATAAACTAAAGGTCAAATTTTGACCAATGCTAAATGCATATGGTCATTTTAAAAAAATAAATAAACAAACACACATGGATGTACACGTGACTATGGTAACATAGGAACGTGTTTTGAATACAGTTATAAATACATTTACTGTTTAGACTGTATCAGAATATTTGAAATGGCTATTCTAACCAACCAAATATCCAGTTTTCACAGTTTTGTAATGGTATTAGCTAAATATTAAGCTTATGTAAAAATATGGAAATGTGGTATGATTGCCAGTGATAAAAATATCCACCAATGCTAAATTGAAGAGAGTATAAATGTAAGCAATTATAGGCCACCGTATATATTTAGTTTTTTTTCTCTCTCTATTTTTACGGTAGCGTATTAGGACCATCCTTTTTTAATTTATTTTTTCTCAAATTGTCGATTTTAATCTTGGAATTTCCAACTTTAATCTTGGAATTGTCGGAATTATCAACTTTGATCTTGGAATTTCCTACTTTAATCTTGGAATCATCAACTTTAATCTTGGAATTTCCAACTTTTATCTTGGAACTCTCAACTTTAATCTTGGAACTCTCAACTTTAGTCTTGGAAATGACTGATATTTTACTTCTAGCTTATAGTTTATTATGTTCCTCCGTATACTTAATCTATTAATAACTATTTTCGCGGCTACATTTTTTTTAAAGTCTTGTCTTGTATGCTTCAATCACGTAGCCTAATATCTATGAAAAGGGAAGGGGGGGGGTGGTTACTTTCTATTAAAGGGTATACGTGGATATGCCAAAATATGTGCCATTATTTTGCGAGATTTTATATATACTACACTGTTTTTTAATGACATTCTATATTGAAATGCATTATTCATTCATAACTTTATATTGGTTTGGCATATGTTCAACATATTTTATAGAAATATGTTATTGGAAAACTAATATTAATGGCCTATTGTGGTATTTGAATCAACCAGGGACTTTATATCTACATAAATATAAAGTCCCTAAAACCAAGCATTTAAAATTGAAATATTGCATATAAGTAAAGATCATTCCTTGTATATATATTTATATTTAAATATGGGTACCAAATATTAGTGAATAGTTTTTAGGCAAAAATGGCAGACCCCTTTCAAAAAATCTCGGTGTTAATTTCAAAATTAAATATCCATTTGTAATCATGTATGCAGTACACGCATTTATTATTTTATATTGCTGAATAGGCGGATGTGCATCTATGTTTACAAAAGCAATCACCAACAAAAAGTAAAATAAAGCACATCAAACTGAAGTGCACTGTTGGCCGAGGTAAGAGTCCAGTGAGCCAAAAGTCACGATGTTCTCAATTCAGAGATTCACTCGATTAATGAAAGTCGGAAAAATCAGTGTCGGACGAATGAAGGTCGAAAGATTAAAGTTGGAAATTCCAAGATTAAAGTTGATAACACCACGATTGATGTTGATAATTCCAAGATTAAAGTTGGAAACTCCAAGATTTAAGTTTATAATTCAAAGATTAAAGTCGACAATTTGAAAAAATAAAAATAAAAAAGGATGGCACTAATACAATTTCGTACTATTTTGTATTGCATTTATATAATGTTTCATTTATAGGCATTTTGTGTTATTTATATTATCACATTAGCATTATAAGTACCAATATACGGCACAATTTATTGAACTTCAACATATTTTGAATTTTTTATTTGTTTCAAAATTTAAATTTTCATTAGTTAATCATAACTCATATCTTTCTGATAAATTGGTTTCGGGATAGGTGTAACTCATTTTTGGAAATTCTTCGTAATGAACTATACGCAAACTATAGGATAAATTTGACAATTTGTCAATTTACTTTCAACGAAAAACACGGTTTTGTTGGCGTCTTTGTCAAATTTACTCTCTTCTACAACACCGTGGCTTTTTTGTTGGCGTCTTTGTTAGTTTCGGTATCCGTATCGGATTTAACCCGAAACTTGTTAATTAGTGGCAATATTAATTATGTGGAAAACAAAAGGGCCTGGAATGGTGTAATTTTAATTTCTAAGAAACAAGAACTATTGATATATAAAGGAAAGGAAATAAAAAAATAATTGAACATTTATCAATTAAAAAAGTAATAATCTGGTGTTGGAATGATCGTTATATTGATATAAATTGATTGAATATCATAACCATAAAAAATTTCAACGATCGAAAAACTCATTAATCATAGTGTGTCTATTTAGTCTATCCTAAAGCGGGTCATAAATTCTAATTAAAAATGATTTTTTTAAATATGTTCTCATAAAAAGCTATCCCTGTGTTATTTTATTCCGTCTGCTGACATGACCAACACATTTTTTTTATTCCTTTTATTAACCACATTTGTACTTTAAAAAGAACTCATATTAGGACTTGGTTAATGACAATTGGAATGGATTAATTTGTCATGTCACCCAAAGGTGTGAATATGTTCTAAGTTGGTTAGAAAATGTCTGGTCCTAATTTATAAACATTGAACATAACATTGGCAATCAATTGATTACAAAATATGACACCGACACTGTTGCTTACATGTTTGATGCCAGAACAGACTTGTATTTATACTTCAGTGTATAGTGCTTCTATTGTGGTTTTATGATGACTGTTATTTTGCTTAAATTAATAATTTGGGACTGACACTGAAGAAAGATGATATAATAACATAGATTTCAATAAAATGAACTTGAAAAGCTGTCATTTCAAAATATTTTAATTCTGGGAAAAATCCAGTTTTTATCGCGATAAAGTAGAGGAGGAACGATAGCCCAGGTGCCATGTGCAAAAACTTTTCTGGTCATGTGGTTCGATTTCAGCTTCCGTTTGGCAATTTTAAATATTGTAAAAGATCGATTTGTTCATGTTTTAACTTCAAATATATTTCAATGCAATAATGAAGAATATAGAAATTTTTAACATGGAAAGATTTTTTGATGATCGAAAATCACTTTTTCATAAAAAAAATTAACATGTTTTTTACTGCGTTTATGTAAATTAAACTATAAAGATTATGTTCTGTAATGGCGGGAATTTGTATTTGAGGTCTGTAAAAGTACGAGGCACAAATTTGTGTTAATATTTCGTTAGTTCGAAAGTAAAAAAAAAAACATTTATAATAGTTAAAGAAAATAACAGCCTAAAACATAAATGATATCATTAAGTTTCCATCCGTTGCTACATAGTGCGACTCTAAAAACGACGGTTTTCGAATAAAATGTTCAAATATAGTTGATTAAAAACGTAAAACTTAGCCACAAAAACCATTTATTGTGTATTTTAAACATATTTAAATGAAAATGTTCTCTAAAAAACCTGTAAAATTATAGCTTTTTTATTTTTTAATTGTGTTTTGGTCGGCTTCGTTCTCTATTGGGTTTTCTCATGTTTTTTTCCCTGATAATTGAAAAAAGAGTCCAATATTTAGAATTTTGTATCAAATTAAAATTTTAACTTGAATAAAAGCTCAAAATCAGTTATTTGACTTAAATAAACGAGTATTCAATTAATGTCCATGTCGTACGAAAAAGGCTCAGGAAATAACAGTTGAATAAGGAGATACATTTGTATATTACCGGCAAATAATGACAAATATCAAACTCGTTTATTTTGTATACATGTATGTAAATTGTATAATCATTAAACTGTATATTACTACTTATGTTTATAATCTCATTCGACAAATTTCCACTGTCAAGGTGATGTTCATAGCACGAACTGCTTGTAATAAATGACACATTTTTACCGCGACCGATCGATAATATAATTTCAAAATGCGTGCCGTGCGCAGAGTGTAGTCCCTTCTGTGGCAATAAAGATAACAATACATAACCAAAATTGCATATTTTTTGCAATGTTCGATTTTGGACCCCCACGACTCTCTTGTTTTAAACAAATGCTTTTCAAATGCGAATGATACACACTTTAGTAACTAAACATGTATATTGTAGACTGCCGGAAGTAGACCAATTAACATCAATCAACAAAATGGCGTCTTCAAGTGCTGACTTGGAGATAAGCGTGAATTATCTACGCCGTATTTTGAATTTTGAAGATGAACAAATACTTGAATGTCTTACTACATTATCAAACGAGCTACACAGATTCATGAATTCTGCTGAACTCACGAATGAAGCCATCGAAATTCTTACTCATCTTGTTGCATGTGCATCACGGAGTGAACAACAGTCGTCACGACAAAAAGTTCTTCAACTTCTCCAATCAATGACTGAATCACCGGTTTTGAACAACAATGGAGCAAAACTACTAATATTAAAAAGTAGCAATTGCAAGAATTTCCATTCATACCAATGCCTTCTTATTGATTTTCTTTTTATACTTCAAAAATTAAACGGGACGATTCCATCAGCACTTAATACGCCACAAAAAATTGGACTGGTTTCTCTTCTCAAGAAAGAAATTGAAGGATCTGATGATTTGAAGAATGATCAACAAGTTTTAGAAAATATCAATGAACTTCAGAAATGTCTGATAAGAAAACTTACAGAAAGGGCTGAAGCAGCAAGAAATTTCATGAAGAGAGAAAAAGATTCCGAGGATTGGTTAAAACCACCTGACGACTTCCGGTGTCTCTCTGTAATGCCACAGGAAGAGGATCTACTGTACCAAACGTTGTTCCTCCGACGGAACAAAGCTAAAGGTAAATACAATGATCTAGACCACTACTTAGACGTTCAGTTTCGACTGTACAGAGAGGACTGTATTGTACCACTACGAGATGTCTATGAAGAATTCATTAAAAAAGATGCAGAAAATGAGAATTTCCGATTAGAAAATGGACGTATCTACAGAGATGTCAACGTAAAAAAGGGAAACAAGTACTTCGATAGATCATGGCGAAGTATTTAGTATTCAATTGGATGACGAACATAGACAGCGTATCCGCTGGAACAATTCAAAACGACTGATATTCGGATCAGTTTTGCTATTGTCATTTGATCGTTTCAAATCGACCTTATTTGTATTAGTTTCCGAATCTAAACCAGACGAGATGAAAGAGACAGGTACTTTTAGAATTAAGATTTTCAGAACTAGACTGAATCAGCAGATACCCCGAGAAACCCCAGGAATACTACTCGAAGCAACATCCGCATATTTTGAGGCATATCATCATGTTTTGACCGCTATGCAATCAATTAAAGAAGACAACTTACCATTTAAGAAATATATCGTTTCTTGCAATAGCTCTGTTGGAATGCCATTCTATCTTGCCATTGATCCTGATATAAAATTTGATTTAGGACCAGTGCTATCTGTATAGCACACCAAACACGAGTCCAGTGACAGTTCTGATGACGAGAAAGTGTTTGACGTAGAAATAAGTCCATTGCTGACAGGAAGAGAAAAAAGGACGAAAAAAATGTATTTCGAAGAATATATGATGAAGGTGACAGATAAAGATGAATGGCCATCTGAAGAAGAACTTGGAATGGACGAGTCACAAAGGAAAGCATTTATCTCCTCTCTAACAAAAGAATTTGTCCTGATTCAAGGACCCCTGGCACTGGAAAAACATACATTGGTCTGCAAATTGCAAAAACATTGCTTCACAACAGAGAAAAATGGAAAATAATACGAGGTTATGATCAAAATGGAGAAAGGATTGAGAGGAAACAATGCCTCTTAATTGTTTGCTATACAAATCACGCTCTTGATCAGTTTGTTGAAGGAATTATTGATTTTATTCCTGAAAAAGAATTAAATAATGAAATTCCATCTGTAATAAGAATTGGAAACCAAAGTAAAAATGAGGCTGTTAACAAATATTCTATAAAACATCAGCGGCATAAAGTTCAAAGAAGACAGCATGCTCAAGAGGTGCTTGAAGAAGCTAATCGTACAAAAAATACTATTTTATCTATTCGTGCAGTATTAAAAATCATTCAAGGCCAGGACATTGTTCTCCATTTTCGACAGTTGAAGAAATTTATGTCAGAACGCCATGTTCATAATTTTCAGAACGATCCCTCAAATGACTGGTTAGACTGGATTCATATTTCTTCAAAATCATGGTTTCTAGAAGTTCAGAGGAAAAGGTCACATACCTACGCAAACGAAAAGCCGTCAAAACTAAAATCAGTGCAAATTTACAGCAGCCTGTTACTAACATAGTGACAAAAGCCGAATACGAATACAGTGAAAGGTCATTAGATGAGAACGTAGAATTCAAGTTTAATGAGAATTCGATCGGCATTAATGTCAACAATCAGTTAAGTGAGATCTTAACCGACTTGCAAGACCGAACATGTATACAAATTTTACACGAAGAGGCCGAAATAGTTTCAATTGAGTTAAAATCAAGTATTACAGCAAATCACAATTTGATTGAGAGAACGGAAAACTTGTGAAATCTTTCTTTTGAGAATCGCTGGAAATTATATCGCCATTGGCTTCGAAAGTATGTCGAAGACCTCAAAGAAAGGCTTAAGATGAAAGAGAACGAGTTCAATGAAATATTTGAAGATTACAAAAAGGCCAGATTAGAGATGGACGAGGAAATCTTAAAACATGCATCTGTTATCGCTATGACTACAACTGGTGCTGCGAAATACCATCAGTTGCTGATGCAAATAGGCCCCCAAATAACAATCATTGAGGAAGCTGCAGAGGTACCAGAAGCTCACATCGTGACTGCAATTAATCCAACATGCGAACATCTAATTTTGATCGGTGATCACAAACAATTAGAACCGAAACCAGCGGTTCGTGAATTAGCAACACGGTTCAACCTTTCGCTTTCATTGTTTGAGAGAATGCTCAACAATGTATCCTAAGCTTTATGACAATAACAATGTTCTAGAGTATGACAATATCAAAGGTATTTGACAAAATCTGTTTTTTATTACTCATAAGTACGGCGAACAGTACAATAGAGATGGTAAAAGTTTTTCAAACGAGCATGAAGCAGAATATGTGAAAGAACTTTGCACTTATCTGTTGAATCAAGGCTACAAACGAAGTGAAATTACTATTCTTGCTGCGTACACAGGTCAGATGTTTTTAATACGAAGCGAAATGCCCAGAGTTCACTTTGAAGGAGTTAATACATGTGTATTGGACAACTACCAGGGAGAAGAGAATGGGATAATATTATTGTCTTTGGTGCGCAGTAATGATAACGGTGACATTGGATTTTTGAGGCGTGGAAATAGAATTTGTGTTGCTTTATCAAGAGCGAAGAAGGGTCTTTACATTATTGGTAATAGTACAACACTGACAAAAGATTGTAAAGAATGGCAAACAGTGGTACAGAAAATAAAGTCAAATAACAAAGAAGATACGAACCATGAATTTCCAAAGCCAGATTGTGGAACGTCATTTGGTAAAGCTTTACCATTGTACTGTCAAAACCACCCAGAACAAGACGGTATTCGAGCCGAATTTCCAGCAGATTTCACAAGAGCACCAGAAGGTGGATGTGAACTATTTTGTGGAATGAAATTGGAATGTGGTCATGTTTGTCACTTGAGGTGTCACCCATACGATAAAGACCACGTAGTGTATGAATGTAGAAAAATGTGCTTAAATGAATGTGAAGAAAATCATAAATGTAACAAACACTGCCATTTTCCGAAAATCTTGTGATTGTGAAGTTATAATGGAAAGGACACTACTGTGTCATCACAAAGCAAAGCTCAATATTGCTCCTTCAGAACACCAATGCCTCATTGAAGTTTTGCGTACGTTATCATGTGACCATAAAGTCATCTTGAAATGCCATATAGACTATGATAAATATATATGCAGAGAAACTGTTACTTGTATACGAGCCCTGTAGTCATGAATATGAACGAAAATGTTACGACATTGATTTTGAACGTATACACAGGTGTGAAATAAAAGATTATAAAGCTCTTAAATGTGGACATATAGAGATTATAAAATGCTATCAAAATAGAGATGGCTCAGACTTTTCCTGCACAAAGAAATGCCTGAAACAATGTGACAACAATCATATTTGTGATCGTGTATGTCATTTTCCTAACCGTTGTCTTTGTATCGTAAAGATGAATAAAACATTATCACGGTGCGGTCATATTATTCTGATTAGATGTTCGAAAGAGGTTGACAAATTATCAGTTTGCACCGAACAGGTAGAATTTATTCTTGAAAAATGCGGACACCATAAAAAAATAGCTTGCATTAAAAAGCACAAAATTGAAACAGCTGAACCGAGGGAGAGAGAGTTATACGAAAAGCGTACCAAATGTCGTGAGATTATTTCAGTTGACTTACCTGAATGTGGCCACACAAACCTGTGCGAATGCTGGATGTCGTTTAAAATTAGAGAGGTCGGCAAAGGTATGTCGAAATATATACAAGATATGCATAACCTGAAATGTTCGAAGGAAGTTGTTTTTAATTTAGAGTGTGGTCATTCGATAGCAACAGAGTGTTACAAGAAACTAAATTACGAGAAGAACTCTGCATTAACGCAAGCAGAGGGAAAAGCTGGAATTGAATGTGAAACTATGGTTGATCTAAATTTAGTATGTGGTCATACAACCGCGGTCAAATGCTTTGAACGGTTTCGATACGAAAACAACAAAAAACGGATCGCCTTATCTAGAGCGTTTGCAAGAACATATACAAATATTAAATGTTCAGCAATTGTAGATATTGAGCTCAATTGTGGCCATATAGGACAAACAACGTGTTGGGAAAATAAAAACTGGACAACCTTGAATAAACTTGTGAGCGATTGCAAAGCACTTGTTGAAATACAAATGGACCAATGTGGACACACGAAAATGGTTGAATGCTATCAAAAGCACACCAAATTCGAATGTAATGAAAATTCTGTCTATACGTACCCGAAGTGTGGACATGAAAGGTACTTTGAATGTTGTCAACATCCAGATATGCACAAATTGCAACTTAAAGCCTAAACTGCACTGAGAAGGGGTGGTTTGGGAAGGAGGTATGATTATCGCGATGAAATCGACCGTAAAATACCGTTATGTGAACATCTGATAGACAAGCAACTGTCTTGCGGTCATAAGATAACTGTTCAGTGTAGAATTTCCGACAACGCAGTTTGCAATCAAAAGTGTGAACAAATTTTAATTTGCGGTCACTCTTGTACAAATACATGTACATTATGCGTAGAAAACATCATTTACAAAGAATGCGAACGCAAATGTGGTAAGCGTTTGTTCTGTGGTCATAATAGTGACAGTAAAACATGTATGCAATGTAGACCGTGTGATAAGTTCTGCTCTTTTTCGTGTGCTCATGATATTTGCAAGCTAATTTGTAGAGACATTTGTGTTCCTTGCAAAATGTCATGCCCTTGGAAGTGCCCGCTCTATCAATGTTCGAAATTATGTTCAGAAGAATGTGATCGACCACTTTGTTCAGAAGAGTGTGAACATAAACTGACTTGTGGTCATAAATGCCCAGGATTTTGTAGCGAGCCATGTCCAGTTTCTTGCAAGGGCTGCGATGCAGCAAACTTTATGGAAGGTAATGAAGGAATAAAAACCGTCACAATAGAAAAATGCGGACACTCATTTGGGTATATGTTTCTCGATAGACACATGGAAACGACTGCTAACAACTTAACCTCCCAATGTCCAGGTTGTGGGCAAGTTTTTTTATTGGCATCCACGGTATGATAAAATACTAAAAAGGAAGAAAATGTTAACAGAAGAATTTAAGGAGAACTTTCAAAAGGTAACAAAACAGTCTAATTACACATTTCCATTGTGTGATTCAAAAATTGTTCATCAATTCCACAATTATATTGGGTCATTTAATACCTATGTACAAATCATCAGCTACATAGCTCGAGACACGAAAAAAATTGAGATTAAGTCCCTTCAAGCATATGCTGAAAACATTTTGAAGGAAATGAAAAAGACAAAAAGTAAATGCCTACAGAATTTGATAGATATATATGATGCGAATTTTCGTTTATATGTGAATTGGATGTTACAACTTGTAACAAACAATTAAAAACTTCTTGAAAGAAAATTCAAAAATAAAAATATAGTCCAAAATCAAGATGAAAATGATAGCGCATATTCACATGATATTCCTGAAGATAATATAGATTCCTCTTCTGAATTCATAGAATTAAAGACATCTAAACCTGTCATAAAAGGTATAAAGTGTAACGATGGGAACACTAAATTCGAAGTTATTGATCTATCAGCTTTGTTTGAAGAAAAAAACATAGTCTGTCTGAATTGCGAGTCAAAATCAACAGAAAACGGATGTGAGGGAAACACTTCCACAAATCAAAAGGTTGAAGAGATATCACAAACGGAAGTCGAAGAATGTCTAACTGGATTAGACATTGTGAGAAAGATCGAAGACACAATGATTAGTAATCGGAAAAGTGAAGTAAAAAGATTACTAAATATTATGATTCCCTTTATGAGAAATGAACCTCATTTTACAGAGGCAATGCAATGTCCACAACTCACCTCTGTTACGGCAATTGGTGTCCACGAGAAAGACTGGAAAATATGCAAGCAAGGTAAAATATAGAGAAATTTATTCAATATATATAATTATTCAAGTTTTGTTCTTACCTAGTTGTGATTGAAAACCTAGAGCTGTTAATATTTATATTAGTATTTTTGCACGGTTTTTCTTCAAAACAAACTCCCATGATGTCGCAAATGTGCGTAACAATCTGGAGGGGATATTATCTTATTACAAATGAACTGAAGGCTTATATTTCAATAGATAGTATAGCAATTTATGTATGGCATATATGTCACATGGCGTTGATCAAGACAACCTACATTTTTCTTGCTGAAGGCAGTTAATGATGAACTATGAGTATAGGTCCACTAGAGTTGATCCATAAAGTTCACATGTATGTCGTTGAACCCGTTATGACACGGTTCAGTGGTAACCGTTATTGTTTTTATATGACCGAAAACATTTTACTGTCGAATAATGATATGGCGTTGTCGTCGTCGTCGTCATCGAAAGACATTTTTGTATAAGTGTAAGAATCTCTATGAAATTGTACCACAAGGTTCCATACTTCAAAAGGAAGGTAGGGATTGATTTTTGGGGTAATAACCCAAACCGGTTTGGAATTAGGGATCAACAAGAGGTCCAAAAACTTGTATGTTCTTGTTTCCGGACAATAACTTGAGTATAAGTCTATGGAACTCTATGAAATTGTACCAAAATGTTCGATACCATAAAAGGAAGGTTGGTGTTGAATTTGAGGATTATGGCCTTAACTGTTTCGGGAAAAGGGACCAAACAAATACGTTTCTGATACTTTGTATAAATTGCTTAATTTTTGTACCAATTTCAACGGGGTTAACAAAGACTTGAATTCTTGGGGTTCATTGATATGCTGAATCTAACCATGATGTGTATTTAGATTTTGGATATTGGACCATAATATGTAAATGTCCAATTTAAAATATTTAAGTTCTTAGACCACATTCATTCTGTATCAGAAACCTATGCTATGTCACAATCACAATCCAAATTCAGAGCTGTATTGCACAGTTAATAGAAATTGAAAGTAGATTCATAGTTAAATAAAATTAATGGAAATTATGTATTTATATCATTTGAAAGTTACTGTTCATTATTAGATATTTTGAAAAAAAAAATTAAAGGTACGTTTTAAAGATTTTTCATGTTTTTAAAGGGACATTAGCTGTCAAATTCATATTCACCAATTTGACTAAGATTCTCATATTTAATTTAAATTATACTAAAACGTTTATTCAAATTACAATAAGTCTAAAATAAACAACTAACGATGTCTGGAATTGATAATATATATCGGGTGTATTTTAGTCTAGACACCATCTAATTAATTTATCATCGAAATGACCTCCGAGGACTGCCGATGGTCATTCAACCGGATATAAACATAAATATAAATAGATAGCAACTACGTGCAATTGGATTTTCCTAGGTTTGTTAGATTTCATAAAAACGGTAAAAAATAAGTTAACCGTCGTTTTTACCTATACACGAATGATTTTTGTGTATTGAATCAGTCAATGTAATGGTTCAGAATGCTATATATATATTTATGAAGCGGACCCCTTTAAAAACTTAGCTTATATTGTCCATTAATAGATAAATAAGTTAAATTCTTGGTGTACATGGATTTGCTGAAATTAACCGTGTAATTTGATTTTGGATATTGGAATATATTAGGAAAAAGTCCAATTGCAAATTTTTCAGTACTTTGCCTACATTCATTCTGTGTCATAAACCTATGCTGTTCAGGGTTTAACCTCTGCGGTCGTATCAAGCTGCGCCCCGCAGAGCCTTTTATTCATACTTGTGTACGTTTTTCAGTTGCATGGCAAGGTGATAGGATACACCTTACACCAACTTCTGTTCTTTATTCAGTGATCAACTTCAAGCTTTAACTTTTAGTTTCTCAGTGACCACGAGTCACATATCACTTGCAATATGCATGATATGTGGTCTATTGATAGTAAAAGATATTTTGTGGAGCAGACAGAAACCGACACTTTCTAAAATTACAATGAAGACCATATTCTAAAAATTAAAAAAATAAAAAAAAAAAAAAAAAAATACAGAAAAATAGTTTTAGGATGTTTTTTTTACTTCATGTTAAAAATTACCACATGAAGAATATTGAAAACAGGTATAGCACATGATCAGAAAAATTGACAACCCGATATTGTCAGCGTGAGTCTGACAGCAAATGGCTGCCTTCACTTTGTATAACACAGCTTGCTGTTTAATTCAACATTCAATAGCATTTTTCACGGTTTTTATTTCCAAAAACAGATCAATGTAAAGCTAATTTTATTTTCATTATAGGCCATCTTACATCGACCTTGATTCATCACAATTGTTATACTTGTTCTGCTGCTTCGACCTCAAAAGTGTTTGCAGAGTCGAAAGAAGGAGTTCTTTGGAAAACACATTTCCAGTCTCTAACTGAAAACTCTGAAAGGGATAGATACCATCAAGGCAAAGGAAACGTAATGGGCGCACAGCAGAGAAGAAATAAACGAAACAAATCTAATAAAAATAGAATGTCTGAAACATTTGAAAGGGATACAAAACAAACAAACACCCAAGAAGTTCGTACACATTTTCAAAGCAGTAATCGTTCATCAGATAATTTAACACTTCAGGATTACATTCATCCAAATACAGATGGAGGTTATTATAGAGGAAACAGTCGCGGACGCGGGCGTGGTAGAGGCAAGAAAAATCAACAAACAGTTGAGGTGGCTGGACGTTCATTTCAAACTCGTTCAGTGGGATATCAAGGATATAATACAGATTTTAACTCTTCCGTTGGGCGACCACAAAGAGGTTACAGTGCTTCCAATTTTATGGAATCGAATTTTGGGCGTTCCACTGAAGGCAGAGGGACAGGACATAATGGAATTTGGCAGAGAAATACTGTTCCTCATCTGTATCAAGTTGTTCCTCATCATGATCCAGTAGCAGTTCATAATAAAATCTGGCAGAGAAATAGTGTTCTTCGTCATGAGCAAGTTGTTTCTCATCATGATCAAGAAGCAGATCATAATAGAATCTGGCAGAGAAATATTGTTTATCATCAGGAGCAGGTTGCAGGAACATTTGGAATAAATATGCAACAAAACAAGATAAATAATGAACCAAATGAAAACTTCAAACCATTTAAAGGAGAATTTGGCCGTCCGAAATATGTTCCTGGTTCGTCTGATTTACGTCCGAATAGAGGAGGCCGTAGAGGCTGCTGGAGGAGAGGTAGAAGAGGCGGTAGAGGCGACAGAAACTGACAAATTAGATTTATTATTTAATGAAAGTTATATAAAAAGTTACTTTAGAATAATGAAAATATCATATTTAGTGCATATTTTGTTAGTAGGCAAAAGTATGAGAACTCTTTTGTTTTGTCTTTTAATTGATAGTGATTATGTAATGTAGCCATTTATATTTGACAGTGATTATGCAATGTAGCCATCTATATTAGGCAGTTATTATGTAGTGTAGTCATCTATATTTGACTGTGATATGTAATGTAGTCATATATATATGGGAGTGATTATAAAATGTAGCCATCTATATTCGGCGGTGATTATGTAGTCATGTGCATTTTGAAGTGATTGTGTTAATATAGCCATACATATTTTGCAGTGATTATATAATGTAGCCATCCATATTCGGCGGTGATTATGTTATGTAGTCATTTATATTTTGCAGTGATTATATAATGTAGCCATTTATATTTGGCAGTGATTATGTAATGTAGTCATGTGCATTTTGCAGTGATTATTGTCGAGCCTGCGACTTTTGTCGCAGAAAGCTCGACAAAGGGATAGTGATCCGGCGGCGGCGGCGTTAGCTAAATTCTTAAAAGCTTAATATTCCAGAGGATAGAAGACCTGGATGCTTCATACTTTGTATATAGATGCCTTATGATATGAAGTTTCCGTCTGTCATATGTCCATTGACCTTGACCTCATTTTCATGGTTCAGCTACTACTTGAACAAAAAGTTAAGATTTTTTGTAATGTTTATTTCTCTCTTACTATGAGTAATAGGATAATTATATTTGGTATGTGCGTACCTTGCAAGGTCCTCATGCCTGTCAGACCTCATTTCATGGATCAGTGAACAAGGTTAAGTTTTCGTGGTGAAGTCCATATCTCAGATACTATAAGCAATAGGTCTACTGTATTTGGTGTATGTAATGATTGTAAGGT